GGGTTTCGAGAAAGTCAATCCACCGGACCTGCCGCCTGGAGAGTGTTGGTTGGGTCTTCAGGTACTTGAGGCTGCAGTGGTCGGTGTAGACAATCGTTTTTCTTCCTTCGAGATAACACCTCCATGCCTTAAATGCGTTGACGATGGCGAGGGCCTCTTTGTCATGGATGGGGTGATTGAGTTCTGCCCCGTGAAGTTTTTTACTGAGGTATGCAATGGGTTGCAGTCCCTTCCCTTGATCCTGCATGAGTACTGCGCCCACTGCTTGATCGCTAGCATCGGCCTCGATGACATAGTCAAGTTCAGTGTCTGGCAGGATAAGAACAGGTGCGGAAGTGAGTGCGGTTTTAAGTTGTTCCACGGCTTCCTGGTGCTTCGCCTCCCATTGATATGGTGTATTCTTCTTCAACAGGTTCGTTAATGGTGCGGCAATCTTGGCGTAGTTCGGTACGAACCGGTTGTAGTAGTTGACGAATCCAAGGAACTGTTGTAACTCCTTCACGTTCTCAGGGGTCTTCCACGTTCGCACTGCTTCGATCTTCTTAGGATCCACGTGAACTCCTTGAGCGCTCACCATATGTCCAAGGAACTGGACTTTTTTCAACGCAAACTCGCGCTTGGATAGTTTCACGTAGAAGCGTTCTCGTCGAAGAATTTCAAACACCCGTCGTAGATGCTCAACGTGCTGCTTCATATCTTTCGAGTAGATCAGGATATCGTCCAAATATACCACCACGCACTCGTCCAGAAGGGGCCGAAGGATGTGGTTCATTTCCGCCTGAAATGTGGCTGGTGCGTTAGTGAGTCCGAATGGCATCACGAGATACTCGTATGACCCGTACCGAGTTCGAAAAGCGGTTTTGTGGATAGAGTTGTCCGCCATACGAATTTGCCAGTATCCCGATCTGAGGTCGAGCTTGGAGAATACCGTAGCACCGCGAAGTTGATCGAGTAAGTCGTCGATCCGTGGTATCGGGTATTTATTTTTTACAGTCTGCTTGTTTAAGGCTCGGTAGTCGATGCACATTCGCAGACTTCCGTCTGGCTTCGGAGTGAAGAGAACTGGAGCTCCGTACGGCGAAGTCGAAGGTCGAATCAGCCCTTTCTCCAGGAGATACTCTATTTGTTTTTTCATATCGGCAAGCTCTGTCGGGCTCAGCCGGTATGGTGCTCGAAATGTTGGCTTGGACCCCGGCTCTTCTACGATCTCGTGTTGATGTGTCCGGTATGGCGGTAGTTGATCAGGTAAATCGTCGGGGAGAACGTCCTGGAACTCTTCAAGAATTTTCTTGACTGCTGGAGGAAGTTCCTGGGTCTGCTTCTCTCCGTTGTCTGCCTCGTTGACTATCGCCATGAATCCCGCCGTGGTCCGTTTGACGTCCTTTTCAAAGCGTGCGAGTGTCTCGACTGGAATATTTCCCGTGTTGTCCCATTTGGGAAGGCTGATTTTCCTCCCGTTGTTGTTGATGTTGGCCGTCTGGTTAACCCAGTTGATCTCGGGGTTGAACTTTTTAAGAAAGTCTCTCCCGAAGATTACGTCGAGTCCTTTGATATTTGTGATGGGGAGAGCAGGCTTCCATCAAAGGGGTCCAATCTGGAGTAGCAACCGTGTTTTTCCGTAGATAGGTAGCTTACTGCCATCCACCATCGTTGCAGAGAAGCTTGAGGACTTGATGTCACCTCCGAGTCGATCGATTGCCTTTTTGTCATAGACGCTGTGCAACGCCTCGCTGTCCACGAGTGCTTGGAGGCGCTGTCCGTTGCAGATCACCTCGAGCAGGAGTGGTGAGCGTTGCTCAGAGTACCCAAAAATAGTCTCATTAATAGGATCATAGGGTACATCCCAATATTCAGTACACACCGTGGTTCCACTGCTTTCTTCTGGACAACTAGCTGGCCTGGGCTGCGTGGAGAAAGGCTCTTCTCCAATGCCAGGAGTAGAGGTAGTAACCGTACAAGTTGACCCTGAGGGGGTGGATCTGGTCGACGCCTGCGATCCACTGGATGCATCCTTGAGGGGTTTTCGGAGTTTCTGCAGCTTCTTTTGAACTCCCAGCTGCCTCTTCAGCTGCTTCAGCTCCATAGACTTCTTCCCTGGGGAGTGGAGAGTCGTCTTGGGCTGGTTCCGGGAGAGGACGTTGACGCTGTGAAAAGGTCTACTCCTTTCCACACTCCTTAATTTTTTCCCCAGCTCCGTAGGCACCGGTACCACTTCTTTAATTGTCTGCTTCCTCTGGAGTTCTTCCCGGAATTTGTTTATGGCTCCGGACCTGCGAAAAACGCCAGTCTTCATTAAAGCATCTTTGAAAGATAACTTTAACGAATTCTGTTTTTTCCCGGGGTCGAATTGGAGAGTTCCCGTCTTGGTCGAGTCTGTTTTCGCGGAGGTTTTCTTTTCCTCGGCGAATTCCTCTGACAAATTTCGGTCAAGGGGCTTGGGATTTCGCCCTTGATTCTCCAAATCTCGCGCCCAATGCTGTCCTTCAATTTCGATTCGGTCCAGATTGCGCTGACGCTTTCGGATCTGTTTTTTCTCGCCAGCACGATCCGCAATCACTGGCGAGATCCGTTTTTTGACATTTTGTTTTTTGTTTCGCCACTCCCACGAGCTCGGAATGTCGCACGTGCAGATTTCATGTGAAAACAGTCGACAATCCGATGTCCGTTTCCGCCGCAAAATTCGCAAACTGTTTTGTTTTTTGCAGGTCGTGAATTCGCGTCGAATTTGTTGACTTCCATGGGGTCGGCGAACGTGGTTGAAGCCGAGCGATCCCCTTGTCGTGATCCGACGACGTGGGGCCGTCGTGTTCCGGAGTTGACCAAGTCAAAACGCTTCGCGGCCGATACGATTTCGCTGTAGCTGCTGCAATTCGCTGCTGCAACCTGGCGCCGAATGTCGGTTTTCAGCCCCGCGATGTAGGACTGAATTTTTTCGCCCTCGGTAATGTCGGGAATGCGATTATAAAATTCCTCCATCTGCTGCGTGTATTGCGTGACAATCCCGTATTGCCTATGGTGATGTAATTTTTCGCGCGCAATATAAGTGGAATTAATCGGCTCAAAACGTTTGAGAAGGTCTGCCCGGAACTGCTGCCACGTGGCTTTGCCCTGGAAAATGCTACTGTTGCTTCCGAGCCACTCGAGAGCTGGACCGCGCATCAACGTTGTCGCGAGACGAATTTTCTCGCCGTCGTACTCCGTTGTCGTCCATCCGATCGCCGCGAAATAAATTTCCATCGTCGCGAGCCACCGCCTGACGTCGGATTTTCGATCGCTAGGGTCGAACGATTCCGGCGAGCGAAGTTTCGGAACCTCGAACTGACGCTGCGACTGCTGCGAAGTCGTCGAAGCAGGAATGTTCATGGTCGAGAGGAGCCGCGTAACGCGCTGCAGTTCGTTTCGCAACTGCTCGTTCTCCAATCGCGACCGTTCAGTCGTCGCTCGCATCTCCGCTTCCATCTTGGCGATTTGCGCGAAGAGCTGTTGCGTAACGTCGTTGGTCGCCGGCGAACCCATCCTGTTCAAAAACCACGCGAGGGGGTTAATTCGAAAAGTGCGGAACTGGTACTTACCAGAAATCGGCGTCGAATTGGTCGCCCCCGGCGGTTTTTCGAGGCGATTTTTTCCGCGACCGCTGCTTAGCCGAGAGTTGTCGAGTGAGAACGGCTCTGATTACCAAGTGTCACAGGATCGAATTCTCAATCGAAACTTGTCACTAAAACTGAATACAAGGCCTATTTATACTCGGAAAGTACAAGGATAAACGAGATAAAACGAACCTTCGGGAACACACCCTTCCCGATACTACAATCACAAGTGCGCATAAGCACGCAAGTCTATTGACACTTGGGATTACGCCCAGATTACACCGTATACACCACTGTCGGCGCTGTCGGTGCCGTATAATAGGTATGTCGGTGGGAAAAGTAGGAAATAAGAGAAATAAATAGAAGGCTCTAGAGAATAGAATAGTAGGCCGATTGAGATGAGATAAAGACCAAAATAAAGAGGAGAAAAGGGAGAATGGAATAACGGAAAAATATACGGTAATAGTGAGAAAATATTATAACGGGGACGTCCTCTCACAATTACTGTGCCCTGCTCTGCCTGACTGATTGGTCTGTGTGTGTGTGATGTGATTACAAGGGAAACTAAGCTTCTAACAAAGTGCACAGGATAAAGTGAAAAGTAGCACTGACTTGGCAGGATAATGTCACTTGTAGCACTGACCCTACAGCATACCCACCCTTGCTCTATCCTGACAGTTCAGGACAAAATAGGAATTCTTAAAACCTGCCCTGAGTCCACAGGGTACCCTCAAACGAATCTGAGGCCCTGATCCATGCTGTGGCGAACTTTCTCCACCGTGTCAGATTGTGCTTTGAAATGCTGAAAAGTGTACTAAGCGGCTTGACTGGAACTAGGAACCAATCGTATGAACAGAAGTGAATTGACCTCGAGTGCGAACACGAGCTACCGACGCAGGACTAGCATTCCACCTGCCGGTCGAAGGGAGGTGTAGATAAACTGTTGAATTTCCCGCAGGAGTACCACCCTCCGCAATAGTGTGATTGACATCAGAATCACCTTGCGTGATTTGCCAGCGATAGTCACGGCGTGATGTCAGGTCAAAGCGCAGATGCGCATGCGCCGGTACCGTACTAGGTCACCTTCATAGCACTCAAAATATGTTGCCACACCTTCTTACAAAGAAAAACTTCTTCCAACATAAAGCCCACTTGAAAAAGTTGTGGTGTGTTTGGAATCCAGTGTCGTGTGTTGGGACAGTTTGGGACGTTACTTGTGTTGCAAGGCTCTGGGCCGAAATACGCTGGAGAACGAGGATTCCACTCAACAGTTATTGACGAGGAGCAGGGCTTACAAGATACGTATCTGAGGTAAGCCTCTCTCAAGATTGTAAGCACTAAATTCCAAGGTGTACTCTTCTTCACAGTTGTCTACTCCAGGAAAACAAAAAAAAACAAAGCAAGCAAGCAAACCTAATCGGCAACACTGAACACGCGGAACGAGTCCATGACTTGCCGCAGCACAGGCCTCTCAGAATCCAACAGCCTCTCGGGCACCTGCAGGCGCAGCTGGTAGAGGCGTCTGTTGGCCACTGCGAGCACTGTGAGGTAGCGGCGGTTCCACTCGAGCACCTGCACTCGCTCGTCTGGCATGATGGCCAGCTGGTTGTTGTTGGCAAACGACTTCACGTTCAACTGCAGGTGAGCGAGGGATGGGGAGGAGCGGAGGATGCAGGGAGGGAAAGGGTGGGAGAGGGTGGAGAGAGGGCAGGGACAGGGTGGTAAGCATTTGGTGAAACAATTGACTGGGAAGAGAGAGTGTAATGTGGTGTTTGGGGAAAATTTGATTGGGATTTGGTGACTCTCCTCAATAGTTCTCACCACCATCACTTTCCCCCCAGCAGCCCTTCACACCATCTCTCCACCATACCTTCCCCCCAACCCCCTCTGCTTCCCCATCCCGCAGGCCCCTTACCTCCATATCATTGTACCCCTCATTACTCTCCTCCTCCCCTCGCAAGCTCCCCCTCCTCACTCTCACCCCTCCCCCTCCCCACGTTCCTCCGCTCCGCCCTCCCTCAGCCCCCTTCTCCCCTCACCTCCATGCCATAGTACTTAGCATCCTCCCCAACAATTCCCGCCCCCATCCTCCAGAATCCCCCTCCCCTCCTCAATCCGCACTCCCCTCACCTCCACGTCATCGTTCTCGTGTCCTCCCCAACAATCTCCACTCTCCTCCACCCCTCCCCTGCCCTCTCCTCCGCACCCCCTCATCCCCACTCGCCCCACCCAACCCCATTCGGACCCCCCTCCCTCTTTACGCCCCCTCACCCCCACGTCATAGTACTAAGCGCAGCGACCTGCTACTGCTCCTTCCAGTGAGAAAGATGGAGGCGCCTAAAAAAAGTCGTCATAGCGCTCCACGTCCTCTACCCTACCGCACCCCACCCCACCGCATCCCACCGCTGCCGCACTCCCTATCCTCCATCCCCGCACCCACACTCCCCACCATCACCCTCACTCCCCCCCACTCCCCTCCAACCCCTCCCCCTTTCCCCCACGCCCCCTCACCTCCACGTCATAGTACTCAGCGTCCTCCTCCTGCTCCCCGGCGCCTCTCCTCCCGGTGCCAGCTGGCACGATGCGGTTGGCGGAGGAGATGAGGGAGGCCTCACGCCGCACGCCCAGGCGTGTGGACATGAACTCCGTTAGAAGCTGCTTCTCTACTCGCTCCCCTGCCGCCTGGGGGGCTCCCAGGTCCCGCACAGACTGTACAGCCACATGCATTAACCAGGGAATAACAGGGCGTTAACAGGGAGTACAGAGGAGTACGGTGGGGCACAGGAACTCCGTTAGAAGCTGCTTCTCCACTCGTTGACCTGCCGCCTGGGGGGCTCCCAGGTCGCGTACAGGCTGTACAGGGGTTCGACACGGAGAATGGGGGAGTGCAGAGGGGTACAGGAAGGTGCGTGGACATTAACTCCGTTAGAAGCTGCTTCTCTACTCGCTTCCCTGCTGCCTGCGGGCCTCCCAGGCTGTCCCAGATCATATGCGCTATAGGATCCGCAGTCTCTGTACCTTTCTTCTCACTGCAGGGTGGGTACTGTTTTTTTAGCGATTGCCTTTGGACTTTACGCGGGTTGGCTGTGTCAAAGATTGGAATATGTGCCTCGCGGCACAGCACATGGCACACTACACAACGCATAGCACACACACATACAGCGCATACCACACACACAGCGCATACCACACACACAGCGCATACCACACGCACAGCGCATACCACACACACAGCGCATACCACACACACAGCGTATACTATACACACAGTGCATACCACACACACAGCGCATACCACACACACAGCGCATACTACACACACAGTGCATACCACACACACAGCGCATACCACACACACAGCGCATACCACACACATAGCGTATACTACACACACAGTGCATACCACACGCACAGCGCATACTACACACACAATGCATACCACACAAACAGCGCATACCACACACACAGCGCATACCCCACACACAACGCACAGCACACACACAGCGCATAGCACACACACAGCGCACTACATACCGCGAATCGGGACGACGAGGGCGACGACACCTCGACGCTCACGTTCTCGTCGAGGTTGAACGAGCTGCGGAAGAAACAGTCCTGCCCGGATCCCCGCACCTGACGGCGGGAACGACGGGAGGAATGGCGGTGAGAATGGCGGAGAAACAGCGGCGGAGGGCGAGTGAAGAGGGCTCGGGAAATGCGCAACTTGGAAGCTCAGAATCACACGAGCGCGGATGACTCAGATGATTCAGGAACGAGCACAGCAGCTCCGAAGCTCAAAAAGGACGAGCGAGCCAATGACGAAAACACGCCGATCCGAGAGCCGATCAGGCTCATCACATGTGATCTGAATAGAGCGGAAAAAGGCCGAAACCCAGGCGGCCTTGAGAGCGTGAGTGCGTTTTCAGAACCAGCCTTTGATGACGCGACCTTCTAGTGAGTATCGTACGGCTGCTGTCTTGGTAGGAAAACTTTTGGACGTCTCTAAAGCTGTATGTGCCGTTTGAGGCGTCAAAACGCGCGACCTAGTGAGTCACTCATCTCACCACGCTGATAGCGCAAACTAGCCAGTCTGGCAGCTCAGCAGGTCGATGACGTGAACTAGCGAGTGTTCTGTGAGAATTATCAAACGCTGATCCAATCTGTGTCGCGAATAACGAGCAGCCGTTAACGCGACCACGGCTTTAGTCGACTCAAAAGTCTCCTCTTTCAGAATTCTCAAAAGCAACTCTTCCCGGACTCACCTCGACCCACGAGTCGGGGTAGAAGAACGAGTAGCCGTCGAGCCGATCCACGTACAGACGGAAGCCGGCAGGCGGGAGCAAAAACGGCAGCGCTTGCGCCGCGGGGAGAGCAGACCAATCCGCGAGCAGCGCGCCGGCAGATGCGGCGAGAAGAAGGGAAGCTCTGCGAGAAAATGCTCCCTTAGAGGAGGCTCCGTTATTATCCTGCAATTCACTCGTAGAACACTCTGAACCGGAGGATGCTGAAAATCTATCTGGTTCTTGGCTAGCCCGCACTCGGAACGCTCTGCGACTCGAGCCTACTCGTGCGGTTTGTCTGGGAGCAAGGACGCTCCAGGAGCCTCCTAAGCAGCGAACTGCGGATGTGTCGGCTCGCTCCGCTGCACACAGCTGAAGCGGAGCGCATGCTAAGGTGGCAGCCGCCGCTCCGGTGCTGGCCGACATGATTAGAGACATAATTACGGTCGACCAGTTGCTTAGGCCAGACTAGACTAGTGAGCAGATATGGGAACTGTCGATAAATGGCAAAAGTGAGGGGGGATGGAGATGGAACAAATGGAGTTATCTAGGGTGGATAGGCTTCGTCTTCTGGTTCCACGTGGCTTGATGCGACCTCCAGTTCGATGAGCCTCGAGTTTCGCGAAAAGAGATGCCTGGGTCGCGAGGACACGAAAGCAATTACTTAGTAACTGCTTGTCGCACTGGCGCCGCGAAACATCAGCATGACTCATGCGGACCACTGTTTGTGTTATTGTGCCAGCAAGAAATAAATCATTTCAATAAGAATGAGACAATAATGATAATACATTCCCCCTCCCTGCAAACTAGTTCTCAAAATTGCTTCTCAGGTCATAGTGATATGTTCCCCAGCACGACCTCTTATATTAAGAGCAGCTCAACTCCAGTCCGCACTCGCCGATCGTGTCCTCGCCGGAGGCTGGGGCGGCAACCCCGCACCCGGCGAGAATTGCACCGGCCCACGAGAAGGCGAAACCTGGTAACCAGGAGACCCCACTCCACGCCCTCCTCCTACCCCACCACCGCCACCACCACCACCAGCACCACCACCACCGCCATTACCACCATTACCACCACCGCCGCCCATTCCCATCCCACACATCACTTCATCTGCCATCCCTCCGCTCTGACTCCTCCCCAACGCCCGGTTTCCCCGCTTTCCCCTAGGCTGCAGCGACCCAGTGCGCCTGAGAAACCTGTCCCCTAGCATGGCTCGGCTGGGACTGGCGGAGGGTGAGCTTCCCCCAGATCCACCTCCCCCTGACCCAGAAGGGGGATACACCATCCCACCCCCACCCCCACCTGCTCCCCCACCCATTCCACCACCATTACCACCACCACCACCGGGACCACCGACACCAGCGCCTGAGCCGGCACCTGAAGTGTTCCGCCCATGAAGAGGACTCCGCATGTATCTCCCGCTTCCGCTGCTGCCACCGCCGCCACCCCCGCCACCAGGCACAGCACCGCCACCGACAGACAGCCGGCCCATGGCGCCTGAAATCAAGGGGCTACGCAGCTCAGGGCTGCGCGGGGGCCGCATATCCCACTTGGCCGACGCCTTCCCCAGCACCCCCGAACCCGGATACCCCGGCCCTGCCGGCGCCATCCCCACTCCCACCGCTGCACCCAGCCCGCCTCCTCCATCCCCTCCTCCTCCCGGCCCCCCACCCCCTCCGCCCCGCGCGCCTTTCCCCGACCGCGCGCTCCCGCCGCTGCGACTAGAGTCGAAGGACCGGACGCTGCCATTGGTGGATTCGCTATTATCACTGGACATGGAGACGGCGTCGAAGACGGTTTCGGGCATGAGCACGCTGAAGGTGGGGTGGCGCAGGCCTTGAGGGTGCGGGTCGCAGGGCAGGTCCACGAACTGCTGCGGGTTGAGGAAGAGGTAGTTGGCGTGCAGCACATCCCGGATTCGTGACCGGATGTTGGATGCTGCTCCTTCCAGCACCCGCGAGTAGCTTTCAAGGACTGCTTTGCCGATGTCCTGCAGGCAGCATGGGGGAGGTGGTGGGGGGGGGGGAGGGGAGGGAGGCATGGGATGCATGGGGAAAGGGGTTGAGGAAGAGGTTTCGGGCATGAGCAGGCTGAAGGTGGGGTGGCGCAGGCCTTGAGGGTGCGGGTCGCAGGGCAGGTCCACGAACTGCTGCGGGTTGAGGAAGAGGTAGTTGGCGTGCAGCACATCCCGGATTCGTGACCGGATGTTGGATGCTGCTCCTTCCAGCTTTCAAGGAACGTGGGAGATACGGGGGGTGGGGTAGGGAGGTGAGGGTATGAGCAAGAGAGAGGGGGAGGGTTAGCAGGAGGGAGTTGAAGGTATGCATGGGATGTGCAGAGCTTGGCATGACCTTTGCGATTTCGAGGGTGGGTCGAGTTAGGTGGAGTGTGGGCGGAGTGCGGAGTTGGCTTCTCCTGCAGGTCAGCCCATCTATGGCAAGGCAAAAGGCACCTCTGGTGCAGGACAGGACCTGCTAAAGCCTCTACTTTCCTCCTTTCTGGTCGCATTCTAGTGCAATCCGTTCTGATGCTGTTCCTTACCAGCACAACACATGGAGCTGCAAGAACGTACCCCATTGAATGCGATGTTGGCTAGGTCAAGAGTGGTGCGGGGCAGGTCGGGCCATCTGCGGCAGATGGCAGCAAGGCACGAGGACACGCGCTGCAGGCTCTCCTGACTTCCCCTCTGATATCTCTGAACTGAGGTAGCGTAGCTTACCCCATTGAACGCGATTTTGGCAAGATCCAGAGTAGTTTGGGGCAGGTCGGGCCATCTGCGGCGGATGGCAGCAAGGCACGAGGAGACGCGCTGCAGGCTCTCCTCCAACCGCACCACGTCCCGGCTGCTAGTGGACAAATAACTGCCGCCCAGCGTGTGGCTCAGCTGGGGCTCCCTGGTCATGCCAAGTCAACGCCAGTCAAAGCATTGCAAGAGTGGTCAACACAAGTCAAAGAGGAACCAAAACGGAGTGAACGTGAGTGAACATGGGACTGATGATGTGAGGTGAAGTGCAAAGCTGTACGCGCATGTCGAACAAACAGTGTCACCACAAAAAGGGCGAGAGACACTTTGTCAAGCTCGCAAAGAATTGCACCTCTACGAACCGCACAGAACTGCATTGCACCGCGCCATACTGCACAGGACCGGTACCTTGCAATCGCGAGCTGGCGCATCCAGATCTGCTCGGCAGCCTCGAGCTTGCAGGCGAGCTTGAGAGCCGCCTTCTGATTGGACAGGTCCACGGTGGAGAGCAGCTTGTCGTCCGTGAAGGGGTTGGCGTGCAGGGCCGCATACACCCTGTCTCCCACCACCGCCCTCACGTTCTGAAGAGCATGAGCAGGTGGAAGGCAAGGAAATAGGTGGTTCGGAAGAGGAAAGTTAAGTGAAGGGAAGCAACTGGGCAGCTGTGACTGGGATGGCGTGCAGGGCCGCATACACCCTGTCTCCCACCACCGCCCTCACGTTCTGAAGTGGGGAACAGTGTAGGTGTGGAGAAGTCGGGCGGTAATGGTTGGCATGAAGGTTGGTGAGCAAAGTGGGGAGTGGCTTGTCGTCCGTGAACGGGTTGGCGTGCAGCGCTGCATACAGCCTGTCTCCCACCACCGCCCTCGCGTTCTGATGGGAGTAGGTGGGGGGAAGGGACGGGTGGGAAGGAAACAGGTGGAGAGGCACAGTTTGAAAGCCGCTTCTCATTGGACAGGTCCACCATGGAGAGCAGCTTGTCGTCCGTGAACGGGTTGGCGTGCAGTGCTGCATACACCCTGTCTCCCACCACCACCCTCACGTTCTAGAAGTGGGGAAGAGTGGAGGGGTGGAGAGGTGGGGTGGTACTGGTTGGCTTGAAGGTTGGGAGCCAAGTGGGGAGTGGCTTGTCAATTTGAAGCGGCTGGCGTGCAGCGCTGCATACACCATGCCCCCACCACCGCCCTCACGTTCTGACGAGAGAGGGGAGGGGTGAGGGTTGAGGGGTGGAGAGGCGGGGGGTTGGGGGGTGGAGGGTTGGGGGGGTGGATGGGTGGGCGTGCGTGCAGGGGTGGAAGGAAGGATGTGGATCAGAGAGAAGAGCAGTTTGACATGTGTGGAGGGGTTGACGTGAAGGCAACCCACCACCATCGCGCACTGCCATGCATGGGCAGGGAGGCCCTACGTTTCGGGGGCCCTACCTTGGGAGGCCCTACCTTGGGAGGCCCTACCTTGGGGAGGCTCTACCTTGGGAGGCCCTACCTTGGGGAGGCTCTACCTTGGGAGGCCCTACCTTGGGGAGGCCCTACCTTGGGAGACCCTAACATGCGAAGGCCGTACCTTGGGGAGACTATACCTCAGGCAGGCCATACCTCAGGCAGGCCATACCTCAGGCAGGCCATACCTCAGGCAGGCCGTACCTCAGGCAGGCCGTACCTCAGGCAGGCCGTACCTCAGGCAGGCCATACCTCAGGCAGGCCGTACCTCAGGCAGGCCGCACCTCAGGCAGGCCGTACCTCAGGCAGGCCATACCTCAGCCAGGCCGTACCTCAGGCAGGCAGTACCTCAGGCAAGTCGTACCTCAGGCAGGTCATACCTCAGGCAGGTCGTACCTCAGGCAGGTCGTACCTCAGGCAGGTCGTACCTCAGGCAGGCCGTACCTCAGGCAGGCAGTACATTGGGGAGGGAGGTCTTACCTTGGGGAGGCGCTGCACAAAGGCGTCGGGGACTTGCATGTCCTGAAGGACCTGCTGGTTGATGGTCATGGCGAGCTTCATGATCTGACTCGTCTTCTCCATCTGCTGCTCCAACCACCGCACCAGCGCCTCCCCCAGCGGCCCCCGCACTCGCGGCTTCATCTTCCACCGCCACACCTGCCGGCCCCCTCCTGCCCCCTCTCCTCCTCCCACTCCTGCTCCTCCCATTCCCCCCATTCCTCCTCCCATTCCTCCCATGGCTCCCCCGCCCATGCCTTCTGGGATGAACCTCTTGTCCCTCACATCAGTCACGCTGCGTTTGAGTCCCCGCATGATACCGCTGCCACCGGGAGGGATCCCCCCTCCTGCCCCTGTCCCTCCCCCTGACGCTCCCCCTGCTGCGCCAGCAGCAGCAACAGATCCGCCGCCGCCGCCGCGGCTCCTTCCACCCCCTAGAAGCGCCGAAAAGTCGTAGCTGAAGCTCGAGGAGCGTGACGACACCCGCCGCTTGCCCCCCGACCCTGGAGAAGCACCTGAAGGAACACCTGAGGAAGAGGCAGGAGCAGCAGGAGCAGCTGTGCTGCTGGACCGCTGATGAAAACCCCAGGATGACCCGGGGTTTGGACTCGACCCCTCCCTGCTCCCCGTGTTACTCCCTGCGTTGCTCCCCGTGTTACTCCCACTGCTACACGCATCCTCGCCCTCCCCTCCTCCCCCTCCTCCGCCCCGCTGCTGCATCAGGTCCTCTTCACTACCGTGCCTCTCTGCCTCAAACCCAGGGGAGGAGAGCCGTCTGTAGTGCCCTGAGCCCCCGTCCCCTCCGTGTCCTGATCCCCGCTCTCCCGCGTCTCCTGTGTCTCTGGTGTTCCCTGTGTGCAACGTGCCTCTGTCGTCAAACTCCCCTCCCTGGCTGTACTGCCCCTCATCATCAGCAAAATCCTCCTCCTCGTCTGCTGAAGACCCTCGTGGGGACGACCCGTGAACCGACGAACCTTGCCCCGAACCATGCGCCGAACCATGCGCCGAACCATGCGCCGAACCATGCGCCGAACTATGTGCAGACCCGTGGCTCACTCCCCGTCGCCCCCCACCTCCCCTCTCCCCACCATCCCCACCCACTCCTCCCAACCGCCCGCTCATCCCTCCAGTCCCATACGGCCCGGCGTGAGTGGCAGGCCGCTCCGAGGGGGCTGTGGCGCTGCGCCTGATGAGACGATCCGGTGCACCGTACAGATCCCCAGCCGACCCTCCCATGCCGCCCATGCCGCCGCCCATACCGCTGCTGCTGCCGCCCGTGCTGCCGGCTCCGAAGCTCTCCCTGTCGTCATCGTCGTCGTCGTCGCCACGCAATGTCTCCTCAACCTCCTCTTCGTCCTCCCCCTCCTCGTCCTCCTCCCCGTCCTCCTGTGTTAGGTCGCCACCTGGCAGCTCGTCCTCGTAGTAGTACTCGTCTGATTGGCTGTGCTGCAGGATGGTCTGATTGGGGGAAAGTGAGAAGTAAGGTGAGGGAAAAGAGATGCGGGGAGGGGGTGGGAAACAGGGGAGGGTGGGGAGGGGAGGCGGGGTGGGGGGGTTGGTTTTGCAGGAGGGATAAGTACAAGCGCAAAAAAAATCACAAGCACACATACAGTAAAACTCGTCCGCTTGGCTATGCTGCAGGAGGAGGTGGATTGAAGATGAACCAAAACTTGTGCATGCCGGGGGAAAGGGAGTGAGTGAGGAGAACACCAGAATGGGGGCATTACGAGCAGCACAAGTTGCCAGCAGCTGGCTGAGCGCCGGCAGCTGAAACCGAACTTGTGCATGCGGGGGGAAACGGAGTGAGGAGAACACCAGAAGGCGGGGCATTACCAGCAGCATGGTATCAAGCTGGCTGAGCGCCGGCAGCTGAATCCGAAGGTCAGCTCGGACACTCCGACGCATCACCTGCCAGCACAGCACAGCACCGCACAGTACCGCACAGCACATATGGCACCACGTGAAAAAGCATCACCAAATGATGCCCATCTCCCTCCCATTGCCTTCCACCATCGGCCATTCCACCCTCACTTCGCCACCATCGCTGCCTATCCCGGTGCCTGCTCCTTCTCCTGCCCATACCCCTTCCTCGCCCCTGCCCCTGTCTCTGCCCCTGTCTCTGCCCCTGTCTCTGCCCCTGTCTCTGCCCCTGTCTCTGCCCCTGTCTCTGCTCCTGTCTCTGCCCCTGTCTCTGCCCCTGTCTCTGCCCCTGTCTCTGCCCCTGCACTGCCCCTGACCCTCAACCATGTCCCCCCTCCACACACCTCGAATCTGCTGCCATCGGGGCGAGTGGTCCAAGCAGGCGCCAGCTCCACGATGTGTCGACACACCGACACCATGATGCCCATCTCCCTCCCGTCCCCTTCCCCCATCGCCCCTGCCACCCTTCCCCATCACATCTGCCCGCCCCTGTCCCTGCCCCTGTCCCCCCCCCTCACCTCGAATCTGCTGCCATCAGGGCGAGTGGTCCATGCGGGTGCCAGCTCCACGATGTGCCGGCACACCGACACCATGATGCCCATCTCCCTCCCCTTCCCGTTTCCACATCGCCCCTGCCACGGTCCACCCCCTTCCCCACCACATCTGCCTGCCCTTCAGCCTGTCCCTGCCCCTGCCCCCGTCACTGCGCCTGCCACTGCCCCTGCCCCTCTCCCCAACCCCCATACCTCAAATCTGCTCCCGTCAGGGCGAGTGGTCCATGCAGGTGCCAGCTCCACGATGTGGCGGCACACCGACACCATGATGCCCATCTCCCTCCTCCACTTGCGCTCGTCCTCCTCTGGCAGCGGCCGCAGCCGCAGCCCATCCCCGAAGATGGATGCTGGGGAAGGGGGGAGTGGGGAGGTGGCGTAAGGGGAAGGGTGGAAGAGTCAATGAGGGGTTGTGGCAAGAGAGGCTGGTCCTTCTTTGGCAGCGGCCGCAGCCGCAGCCCCTCCCCAAAGATGGATGCTAGGGAAATGAGGGGGGAGAGGCGGGTGGGGGGGGGTGAGGAGTGGCGGGGAAGGAGAAAGAAGAGGTGACGAAACGATGTTGGAAATGTAGCGGTCGGGACAAGACAACGTACCTGAGTTCCTAACAGCGTACCTGAAACCCTAACAGCGTACCTGAAACCCTTACAGCGTACCTGAAACCCTAACAGCGTACCTGAAACCCTTACAGCGTACCTGAAACCCTAACAGAGTTCTTGAATATCTCACAGGTCACCTGAAACCCTGACGGCGTATCTGAAACCTTAACAGCGAACCTGGAACCCTAACAAAATACCTGGATCTTTAACAGACCCCCTGAAACCCTAACGGCGTACCTGAGACGCTAGTGATAGCATTGGCCATGGCTAGCGCAGGGCCGCACCCCTTAGCCCCTCCGGATGGGTCGTCTCCCAGCAGCAGCTTGGACCATCGCTCGCGCATCAGCTGCATGTCTGCATGAGGAGAGGGGGAGGGGGAGGGGGGGGCGTTAGGATCATAATTTGCCACGAAGCTCCATGTGAAATGGATTTGAGCTTAGAACCTGTCTCCCAGCTGCCGCCTGTCCGGGGAGAGGGGGAGGGGGTAGGGACGGTCCTTTACAGTCACGAAAACCCACAGGAAGGAATAGATCGGAAGTAGATAGAAAGTCATTGGGAGAGAACTGCCAAGAATGAATCGAACGCACCATCCTTGTCCTTGGGAATGTAGTCCTCCACCGCTAAATCCGGGTCGTCAAACGACCCCGCCATGGTTCCGACTGAACGGACCGATATGTTCTTCGCTAGTTTATCTTCGACGATGGATCAACGAGCGGAATGATACCCTATGAAATGCCGTCACTCTCCGCGCGCAAATGCCGAATCACCCCCCCCCCCCCCTTTTCTCCTCCCCCCCCTCCTCCCGCCTCTATCCGATTCACGGGCGCGTTGCTGGCTGGCTATCGAAACTATGGTGGTGTATACTGGGTGTCCTGGAGAGAGGGGTGTGGATCTTAAAACACTGAGATCAGTATCCGTCAGTAATCAGCGAACCATTTTTTAGACGACTACGAAAACGTTTCCGTCAGTGATCAACGAACGACCCGCCACGGTTCCTGGCTAACTGAGCTCGGGTGACGGTTTCAACGCCGGCTTAATGAGCGTTGGTGACGGGCCGACGGCCGGACTTATTCGAAAAAAGTCCGTCAGTTTCCGTTAGTAATCGGCGAGCGACTCCGACATGGGCTTTGCAAACGTCAGCTGGCTGAGGGTTGGTGATGGAACGACGGACGCACTTCAGGCAGTCTTAGGCTGAGGGTTGGATTGGATATGGGGATGGGCCTGGAGGTAGTATCTCAAGACAACCTCGTCAGTTTCCTTGGGTGTTTTTTTTAAATGACGGCCAATAGTTCTGTTTCACGCTGAGTAGCTAGGCTTCGCTCTTGGACAGACGCACAAACGTTGTAAAGAGGTTTGATACCCGCCAATTATTATTCGGAAGTGGTAAAGGAGGGTGAGCGTCGTCATTGCGAATGGACGGGTCTGGGACCTGTCATTGTCATCGAGTCTTGAGTGATGGGCGCGCTCATTGTTAACGGGTGTCGGACATTATCTGACCTAACGAGCCGTCGAGCCTCGCCATTGCTAAGCGATGGCGAAAAACGCGTTAGGACGTCGTCAGAGTTAGCGAGTACACACTGAAGCAACAACTGCTTGGCACATCAACGGTTGTACAGTCACCCTAAACTGCCATGGACCTTTGAACATGATTGCACAGTAACAATCCGACGTGGTGCAGGTGCAGGTGGAGGGCAACGAAATCGCCCTTGGGAACAACGGCAGTGTCCCCTTGAGAATAGCGGGGCTGGGTTGGGAATGATGCCCTCACTACGAGGTCGGGTTGAAAGACCACCCTGAAGCAAATGTCCTTTCACCCACCCGACAAAAACGCTCCGGAAAGCCCATCTTCTTAAGGACCTCAAAGGTGAAGTCCCGGGAAACTGAGTCAAAGGCTTTCCTGAAGTCGACCAGCAGCATATACCAGTCCTCCATGCCATTCTTTGCCGCGTCGATGACATCCGCTACAAGCCCCACCGCATCCGACACCCTTCTCCCCGGTATGAAGCCAAACTGCTCCTCCGAGATGACTTTGTGAAGCACCTTTTTAATTCTGCTCGCCAGCACCCTTGCCAGTACTTTGTAACTGAAGTTCAGCAAGGTTATCGGTCGGTAGTTCTCTAACTGCTCTTTTGCTCCCTTTTTATGCAGAAGAATGGTTACAGCATCCTTAACGCTAGTCGGGAGCGACGATGAGGAGGTGAAGCTCTGACATTGGGAATGAAGCCCACCGTGAGGGCTTCTGATTATGCTTCGTGAGGGCCTCTACTCATCCATGGATCTCTTCGTGAGAGCACGACAACACGCGCACAAGTTTATTAGTTAACGGATGGATGGGGGAAGCAGTGGATGTGGTATCAGGAGTCCGGCAGGGGTGTCCCATCGCCCCTTACTTGTTTCTCTGTGCGGTGGAACCTCTGGTGCAGCTGGTAGAAAAGAAGAAGTTGGGAATTACCATCAGGGGTTGTACTGAGCAACGGCTGGCTTACGTCGGTTATGCCGATGATACTACTCTCCTACTTCAGGGAAAACAGCAAATCGTCAAAGCGGAGGAAGTACTGGAGGAGTTCAAGAACATCTCTGGGTTGGCGACGAATAAAGATAAATCGGTGGTGCTTCCGCTAGGAGTTAACCTTGGCAAAAAGACCTGGCGCACAGATGGCTTCAGATGGGCAGGTGCGGATGAGGCTGAAAAGCTTCTTGGTATCTGGGTCACGCCCAGCGGAAGCTGCCAGCCGACCTGGGACAAGGCCCTGGAGAGGATTGTGGGGAAGATGTCCCTGTGGCAGCCGCAGTATCTGCCGATTAAAGCAAGGAGAGCTGTGATGGATGGTTACATCATGCCGATAGCCTGGTCGCAGGCCCAGGTGTACCCGCCGTCTGCTCGGATCTGGGGGGTTATAACGAAGCTGTCGCACACTTTCATGTCAGCCAACAAGGTTACAACGGAGAAATGTTTCTTCCTATGGAGTAAGGAGCTGCTGTACACGCCGGTGTTGGAAGGAGGTGTGGGGGCAAAAGACCCAGAAGCTATGCTTACCTGCTTCACAGCCAGGAGGATTGGGTTGATACTCAATGAGTCCAGTCAGCTAAAACGGAATTTGCTACGGCAGGCAGCAGACTTACCACTGGGGCTCGATACCTTTATGTCGCACGAGAAGCTTCTGAAAGTTTGGGAGGGGAAGAGCCAGCGGTGGAAGTTGGCATGTGAAAACTTCATGCGTTCTCCTCTGGCGGTGACAGGGGCGGAGCGAAGCAAAGAGGAGGTGGGGCTGGAGAGAATTGTGTTTAACAGACACATTCTTCGGAAAGGCTCCACGCCATTTGGGGGACAAAAGGCGGCGAAACGGCTGCGAGAAGTAAGGCTGGGGGATCTGATCCGGAAAGATGAGGAGGGGAGGGGAACGCTAAAGGACCTGGTCACTCTGGAGAGGGAGCTGCTGGGGATGGAGGCTGCGAAGCTGGCACTGGAGGCCTTTGCTGCAGCACCAGAAGCTTGGAGGGGATTGCTTCTCTCAGCTGAGTTACCGCAGATGGGCTTTGCAGAGGTGTATGTGGCAGGGAGAGAGGGGTCAAAGCAGTTGCGCAACAAACTCCTGGTGAAGGGGGAGGTTGCGCCGATGAAGTCACTCAGGTCCTGTTGGGGGCATGGCAGCAGCGGGCAGTCCAGGCGGAAAAAGTGGGAGGTCAGATGGAGCGGTCGTATAGATTGGAAGCGGGCAGTTAAAACCCGGGAATCGCTAGTCACCCCCAGCAGGCCAAGGGATGTTTTGCTAAGAATCCACAGTCTGAATCTGCAAGTCGGGGAGAGACTCCCCTTTCTCAGCAGTGGGCCGGTGTGTCCTTTCTGTGGGGTCTTTGAAACATTGGAGCACTGTTTTTCTGAGTGCCCAAAGATCCGGGTGGTGGTTGCAGCAGTGAAGAAGGCCCTGCGCATGATTAATCCTGGCAGGCGGGCGGAATCGCTGGGGGACTGGCTGTTCGGAAAGGCAAACTCCACGTCAGCATTCCCCGAGGCGACTCTGATCTCTATCGCTTTGCATCAACTATGGGTGGAGAGGTGTGAAGGGGCCTTTCGCGGGTGTAAATTTCGCACGAGGCGGGTACTGCGGAGGATTGAAACTGCTCTGCGCATGCATGTCAACATTTACGTGCGTGCCTCAGCGGGAAAGCTGCAACAGAAGGGGAAGGTGCAGCAAGCCAGATGGCACGTGATGACGAATCAGGAACAGTGTCTTCTGAACCGCATCAGGGTGGTGGAGGGCAAGGGCTGGCGGTGGTCGGCCAAATTCGCAGCAATTTGGGGCAAGCCACACAGGCCCCGGATCCACATGTAAGGATCGGATTTCTCGGAGGCAGGCATCCTGCTTCTCACGTACAGTTACGACTGTTTATGTGATATACGCTTCTGTACTGGTGTATAGCATATATAAGCAAAAAAAAAAAAAAAAACCCTGAAGCAAATGTATGCGACTGAATTTGAGATCCATTCAGTTCATCTGGTTTTTCCAGAAGGGACTCTTTCAGCGAGTCCACAAAAGTAAAAAGCTGGAATCGAACTCATGCGACTATACCTTTTCGGCAGAGTTTGAGAAATAGGGAAGTTTTTGCACGATAGCCCACCATCCAAATCGCAGGTGTCAGGTGACGGAATGGATTGTAATCACCTTTAAGAGTTCCTTAAATGAAGACCAGTGACAAAGTACACCTTCAAATCACACTCTTCTCAAACTTTTTCACACATATGCTATAAAATTAACCTCAGACTTCTGATTGCTCCACATTATCCTCACGAGGGTCCTGATATGGAAAATCTCACTGTATTTATCAAACATCCATGCAGCTCTACCGATAAAATTTTGACGTATTTATTAATCCCCAAAAATGTTACGCATAGACCCACCACCACCACCACCACCTTCTATGGAGCTCCTAAGGGTCCACGAAGCTCAGGGTGTCAGAATGTTATTATCTAGCCTATAGTGGGGTGCTCTATAGCGAGTACAACCCTGTTAGGGTTTGCTATATGTATCCCAACTGCTGCTAGTGAACCCTCTTCTTTGTTCATTTCTCTCTTGCCTAGCTAGCTAAACCATAGCTATGGCTCCTCACAGTGCTCACTATTCTCACAGGCTATCAGAGCATCTACGCTCCTGGCCTGTGGGCCCACCTAACTGCTTCCGCTGCTACTCTGTCAGTTGCACGCCCCGTGGCGTGCGACTCCTTCTTCCTGCCGCGCGCGGAGCTTGCGACGAAATTTTTTTTTTCGGGTTTTCTTTCCGCCGTGCGTTCGGGGGGCGCGGCGGTTTTCTGCCCGCCGTGCGCCCCGAGGCGCGCGGCGGTTTCCTACCTTGGGAACCCGCGCGCGGCCCCCGCCCTGCTCGTCGCGGCGCCCTGAGGAGCACGCGCGGCCCCCGCTCGTCACGTCGCGGCGCCCTGGGGAGCCGCGCGCGGCCCCTCGCTGCCCCATGGTGGCGCCCTGGGGGTCGCGCGTCACCCCTGGAGCCGCACGCCACCCCTGGCGCCGCGCGCGGCCCCCCTTTCGCTGCCCCGTGGTGGCGCCCTGGGGGCCGCGCGCCGTCCCCTTCGCCGTCCCCCGCGCTCCTACCCTGTGCCACCCGTTTTAGGGTTTGGGGGTGGGGAGTGTGGGGGTGCCGGTTGTGGGGGTACCGGTTGTGTGCGCCTACCCCTGCTCCTCCTCCTCCTCCTCCGTCTCCCGCTGCTGCAGCTGCCGCTGAGGGGGATGGGTGTGTGGGAGCCGAAGGAGTGGTGCTAGGGGGGTGACGGGAGTGGAGTTAGGGGTTCAGCAGGGGGTGTGTGTCAAGGGTGTGGGTCAGTTGGAGGAGGTTGTGTGGAGGTAGCTGTCGTGTCGCCTGCAGCGCCTGTAGTCCGTCGCCCTTGCTTCGGTAGCCAGTGAGCCTGTTGCACCAGTCGCCAGTGGGTCCGTTGCTCGTGCCGCTCGTCTTAGCCGCGGAGCCAGTCACTCCAGTAGTCCGTCGCCCTTGCTTCGGTAGCCACTATGTCAGCCGCTCCTGTGCGCGTGCCTCTGCAGCTCCAGTCGTTGCCTCCCTGTTGGAGGGAAACGGTGGTGGGGCGGTGGTATGCCCCCAACCCACCGAGGGCACTTCGGTGCCTTCAATCCCTTTGACTAGGGATCGGTGGGGTGGCACCGATTGACTTCGGGAGACTCATCCTTCGGTGCCACGTGGCGACACCACATTCCAACCTTCAAGTGCAAGGCGAATTCGGTGTGTTCGGTGTGAAATTCGGTGGCCGAATTTCACCCCAACTGAAATGTTACACGCGGCGCATTCGCGATGCGAGTGTAGCGATGCGATGTTACATGTGCGGTTCGATGTAATGCATTTGCTATAAATCGAATTGCCTTGTATGCATGTTTTATAGTGAAACTCAGAGTTCTTTGTACAAGGTACATTCGAACCAAAATTCCGGAGAGCTCCTATCCTTCAATCTAAGAGCACTACCTAGCACATAAACGACGATATCTCGCTCGATACTTAGGCGAACGAGGTGATCTACGGCTCGCTGGAATGCTAGCAGAGTGCTCTACTGCTTAGAACAATTCCCAGTTCCTGCAAAGCAGAGGAGAGTCCTCTACATCAGTGGTATCAGAGCTGGTCGGTAGAGCCTACGTGCGCGACTTGTAGCAAGCATGATGACGTCAAGCGAAACCTCTGGCACTTCCTTAGGTGGTGTCGTCTCGAATCCCGGCGAACCCTGGACAAACGCGACGGTGTTCGACACGTCGGCGGTTCCGATTTTCACGGGACAAAACTACTCCGCGTGGAAATTTAAGTTTCAAGTGCTCATGATGGAGCGGGGACTTTGGGGTCTCTTCGACGGAACGGAGAAAAAGCCGGTCAACGAGGACGAGATCGCGGCATGGAAGAAGAAGGACCAAAAGGCGTTCGCAACGTTGATTTCGCGCATCGGCATCAACCTCGCGAGTTCGGTGCGCACGTGCATCAAGCTCGAAGTGTCGGCGCGTAAAGCATGGAAGCGGCTCGAGACGATGCACGTGAACAAGACTCTCCACGGCAAGATCCTAGCCCAAAATGCGTTCTACACGGTGAAGTTACGCGCGCGCGAATCGATGCACGAGTATGCGACTCGTGTGGAGGAACTTGGGGAAACGTTCATGGACCTCGGTGGAACGGTCACGGAGGAGGATTGGATTCTCACCTTGCTTTGCGGCCTTCCGGAAGAGTGGTCGACGGTGATTACGACACTCGATAGCGTGCAAAATACTTGGACGAATGAAATGGTGGTCGGTCGGCTTCTCCATGAAGAATCGCGACGCCGACAATTCGCTAACGAGAGCGTGGAGACCGCCATGTTCTCCGGAGGGAGCTCCGGAAAGAAGTCCAAATGGAGCAAAGGTGAGGCGAAGAAGTAGTCCGGTGGAAACGAGCGCGGCAAAGGCAACACATCGAACGGTTCGAGCAAGTGCCACTATTGTCGCAAAGCGGGACATTTTTGGCGTGAATGTCGGAAGCGGCCGAGCGATTGGACTCCATCGAAGGCGCGGAACCAAGAGAGCAACGCACACACGGCATCCGGCAAGGCGGATGATTCAACGGAGTCGCTCGTTTTGTTGGCCGGTGACGGGATCAACACTTCAAACGACGCGTGGTTCCTCGACACCGGTGCAACACAACACATGACGCACTTGGCGTTGCTCCTCAACAACATCGGTGCTCCGGGAGACGTTAAGCGCGTCGTCTTCGAGAACGACAAATCGCTACCGGTGGTTGGAGTTGGGAGTACGCGTCTCATCGTCGATAGCGGGCCGGTGGACATCACGAACGTTCTTCACGTCCCGGGATTGAAGGTGAATCTACTCTCCGTCACTCAACTTGCGAAGAAGGACGTGAAGGTCACCATCGATGGCGCGAAGATGAACCTCTTTTGGAAGGGGAAGCAATTCGCGCAAGGCGTTCTCAACGGACAACTCTACCAACTCAAGACGCATCCGAATACGGCCTCATCCAACGTGGCGCAAGGCTCCAAGGCGACTCTCAAGATGTGGCATAATCGGCTTGCGCACGCCAACTACGACTCGGTCAAGGAGTTGGCCAACAAAGGACTTGCAAAGAGATTTGACGTGATCGCCGGCAACGACGAGAAGGGCGTGTGCGCGGCGTGTGTCGAAGGAAAAATGGCTCGCAAGCTATTTGGTAGCCGTACCTCACCCCTTGCTAAGGACCCGCTTGCGCTTGTTCACATGGGCGTGTGTGGACCGATGCGGCATGCATCTAAGGGAGGAGCGCGGTTCCTCTTAGTGATGCTCGATGACGCAACGCGGATGTGTTGGACTCGGCTCTTGAAGGCTAAAGGAGATGCGGCCAAGGCGATTCAAGAGTGGGCGCTCGACGTTTGCGACAACGGCAAGAAGCGGATCAAGTGCATTCGTACCGATGGTGGCGGCGAATTCGTGAACAACGAGCTTGAAAAATGGATGAAAAGCAAGGGGATTAAGCACGACGTCACGACACCCTACACACCCCAACAAAATGGAGCGGCGGAGCGGCTCAACCGCACATTGGTGGAGGCCGTCCGTTCACTTCTTCAACACTCCAAGCTTGGGAAGGAGTGGTGGGGAGAGGCGAGTGCGCTAGTGGCATGGATTCGTAATCGTGTGCCAACAAAGGTGCTACCGGGAACGACTCCGTTCGAAGCATGGACCGGAACGAAGCCGAACCTATACAGCCTACGCACCTTTGGGTGCCTTTGCTACTACCATGTACCGGATCCATTTTGCCACAAGTTGCAACCGAAAGCTTGTGCGGCGATCTACTTGGGAATTGCGGCGAACGAGCGTGCATGGCGAGTGTGGGGTTTGGATGAAAAACGCGTTGTCACGTCTTGGGATGTGATCTTCGACGAAGCCAAGTTCCCGACAACGGAGAAACAAATGTCAGAATGTTATCTTATGCTCTAGCTTGTAGTGGGGTGCTCTATAGCGAGTACAACCCTTCTAGGGTTTGCTATTTGTATCCCCATTTCTGCTAGTTCACTCCCTCTTTCTTTCTTCAAACTTTGTCATGCTATCAGAGCAGGTCGATCCCCTTGGATCGATCCTGTGGGTGGGTTACCACCTTGCTTCCGCTGCTACTTTTTCCTCCCGCCGTGCGCCCCGAGGCGCGCGGCGGTTTTCTGCCCGCCGTGCGCCCCGAGGCGCGTGGCGGTTCTCTGCCCGCTGTGCACCCCGAGGCGCGCGGCGGGCGTCTGCCTCGCGGCGTTCGCCGCGTCCCGCTCTGGAGGCGTCGCGATGGGCGACGGGGACCCGTCGCGGCCCCGCCGCCCTACTCCGGTC